CACACACACACACACACACACACACACACACACACACACACACACACGGACCCACACCCCCCTGCTGTGTAAGTAGTCGGTGTCAAGTTCTCTGATCCATCTCCACTCCAATTGGCTCCTTTTTAGTTGTTTTTTTTTTTTTTTAACAGAGACATACTCTTGCTCTGTCACCCAGGCTGGAGTGCAGTGGCGTCATCACAGCTCACAGCAATCTCGAACTCCTGGGCTCAAGTGACCCTCCTGCCTCGGCCTCCCAAGGAGCTGGGACTACAGGCGTGTGCTACCACACCCAGCTAATTTTTCTTATTTTTTGTAGAGACGGAATCTCGCTATGTTGCCCAGGCTGGTCTTGAACTCCTGGCATCAAGCGATCCTCCCACCTCAGCCTCCCAAAGTGCTGGGACTACAGGCGTGAGCCACCACACCCGCTCCGCATTGCCTCTTTCTGCCTTTTCCTGAGCAGAGAACAACTCCCACCCTTTCCTGGAAAATAGAGTATCCAATTTGAAAAAACGTATTATGAAAATTTGCAAACATAATAGTTGTGAGAAAAGGACAGTAACCCCACCACCTCCGCCCCTTGCCCAGGGTCAACTCTAATCCAGATTTTTCCACCTTTGCTTTACAGAAGTGTTTTAAAGCAAATCAGGTAGCCAGGCATGGTGGCGCATGCCCGTAGTCCCAGCTACGCGGGAGGCTGAGGCAGGAGGATCGCTTGAGCCCAGGAGTTTGAGGCTGCTGTGAGCTTGGATGGCACCACTGCTCTCTAGCCCAGGTGACAGAGCGAGACCTGTCTCGAAAAAAATAAAAAATAATAAACAAAGCAAATCAGAGTGGGGACATCATTTCACCCGCAGACCTCAAAGTGCATGTCGCCAAGACACGTGGTGACGTGTCACATAACTGCCCTGCCACGGCCACACCTGACAAAATGAACAGTAACCCCCTCCTTCTGTCAGTCAGATCTTTCAGATAAGAGGTGACTTTTTTTGGTTTGTTTTTCTGGAATATTTTTGATCCTCGGTTGGTTGCATCCTCGGATGTGAAGCTCGCAGATACAGGGGGCAAGAGGCCATGTTTGACTTCGTGGCATCCTTGGGTTTTAGCTTCCCGATGGTAAGGAGTCTTGTCCCCTTTGGCGGGGACCCCTGTCCCCATTTAATCCGCCTCCTCGATGTCAGCGCCCCAGCTCGGACTGCTGTCTGGACTAGAGTTTAAGGGCCCAAGGGGCCCGGCCAAGCGTTGTTTTGGAAAACGATGACCGGTTATCTGCAGCCTCCGCCGAGTAAATGAAATCGCATCTTCAAAGCCAGTTTTATTTCAAAGGACATTCTCGTCCCGGAACAGTTGTGGAAAGCTATTTTTAAGACGGTACAGGAAGTGTCTGGGAAACAAAGAACCTGCCTCTTGAATTAATGGAATAAATATTTCTGTCCCCTTATCAGATCTGGTTCCTTTGAAACACGCTTTTTTTTTTTTTTTTGGTCCCCAAAATTTCCCCAAAAAAAAGTTAACGGGGGGGGGCGCACAAATTGTATCATGAGCTGTTGTTGGAAAAACATAAAGGGAAATGGAAACGTGATCGTTATCGCAAGCTTGTTCCAAAGAAATTACGTGATGTGGGCTGGCCGGGGAGGGCTGTGTTTACGTTGAGCGGGTCTTTAAATGTCACGCTGTGATTTGCTCCCTGGCTGACGAGGTGGGGGCTCTGTCTCCAGGACCTCGGTGACGGTGGCATTACCTGACTAACCTCTCCGGCCTCACTTTCCTCGTTTGGCCAAGGAGATTGAGCCAGATGACCAGTGAAGACCTTTCCAGCTCTGAAAGTCCTTAAGATTGTTATTCAAGTATCTAAAAAGGTTGGCCGGGTGCAGTGGCTCACGCCTGTGATCCCAGCGCTCTGGGAGGCCGAGGCAGGGAAGATCGCTTGAGCTCAGGAGTTCAGGACTAAAAAGGCACATATTTTAGGATTTCAGGTAATGGAATCATCTTTAAAATATTTTGCTCACACTCCATAATCTTGATTTGACAGCTAAGGGAGAAAGGCCAGTTTAAATAACACTGATATAATATGATATAGCAATATAGAATTATATCAGTATAAACTGTATCAATATGATACACATTCTATAATATATATCAATAATATATATATATATATTTTTTAAAGACAGGGTCTCACTCTGTCACCCAGGCTGGAGTGTAGTGGTCCAATCATAGCTTACTGCAGCCCTGAACTCCTGGGCTCAAGTGATCCTCCTCCCAAGTAGCTTGAACTAAAAATAGACGCAGGCCCATGTCACCATGCCTGGCTAATTTTTAAAATT